TGTAATTCATCGACACTGTAGTAAAATGTATTTTGGTCAACAATTCTCATTTTAATGAGACTCAAATTGGGGCTAATTTCCTCACTATGAGAAGGTGTTTAATAAAAATATCTAGGCCCTGTTTGAGTCATATTATTTCCTTATTAAAATGAAAAATATGATCGTTATCCATCATATATGATTTTTTATCTCTTGTGTTGGGCCCATAACAACCATATTTTTCATTTTCATTTTTACAATAATGTGGCTCAAACGGGGGCCTATTCTGGACAGGGAACTTTGATGGCACTGGCATCGTTTGCAGAAGGAAAACAAGTAGACAAGATTAGATCTGCTGCATTGTTAAGCCCTGTAGCCTACTTAAGCCATATGACCACTGCACTTGGAGTTGTAGCTGCTAGATCCTTCGTCGGTGAAGTAAGCCCATATTCTTGAGCTCCAATCAAAACTATATTTTGCTAATGCTTCTGATATTAATATTTGCCATTTTCAACAGATCTCCACAGTTTTTGGTCTTGCTGAATTCTATCCCAAAGGGTAACAAATCTTGATTAATAACTAAATGTATCCGAATTTAGGTGCACTTACAGTAGCATTATCTGATTTTACAGGAAGGAAGTAAGCAAATTCCTCAAGTCCTTGTGCGCCTTTCCTGGGCTGGACTGTTATGACATGCTAACTGCACTTACTGGTATTGATTTATCAATGCAAAATCTGCAATCTTTGCTTTTCTATATATTTATAGGCTTAAAATTTTCTCTACAGGAAAGAATTGTTGTCTAAACGTGTCCACTGTCGAGATTTTCTTGAAGAATGAACCTCAATCAACTGCAACTAAAAACTTAGTTCATTTGGCTCAAAGTAAGTTAACATAACTTCATTTAGCCTCAAATTCGGTCAATGCTAAGGGCATGTTTGGTACATAATGCAGCTGTCCGGGATGGAATCTTGTCAAAGTATGATTACGGAAATGCCAATTTCAACGTGGAACATTATGGAGAAGCAAAGCCCCCGGTTTATGATTTGAGAAAAATTCCTCATGATTTCCCCCTGTTTTTGAGTTATGGAGGCCAAGATGCTCTCTCCGATACTAGAGATGTGGCGACTTTACTTGATATTCTTAAGCTGCATGACGTAGACAAGCTTCATGTACAGTTCATCAAGAATTTTGCGCATGCGGACTTCATTATGGGGGTAACGGCTAAGGATACAGTTTACAATCAAATTGTGGC